CGTAATTGCAAAGCTTTCATTTAATATCATTTAAAGGGGCTGGCCCCTAAAATTAGGGATCTAGGGCCCTTGAAAGTTTTTGCTTTATTGAAAACGGTAAATATTTCGGAATGACTGTCGATTATGAAGTTTTGCTTTAACATCTTATTATCTCATGAAATTGTTTTGTTCGAGTATTGTTTTAAATGAGCTAGATGCATGACCCATATATGTACAGGTAATTCTTTTCACTCAACGTAAACGCGAGCTCCTCATGCGTGAAACCAAAACAAACTTACTATAAACTAGAGCCGAGCTCGTTGCAAAGCAACGAATAGGTCTTCCGTTGGGGCTACGAACTAGAAGACGTAACCTTGAGTCGAGGTCAAAAGCCACATACTAAAGATATACAAGTAAAAAACCTTGTAAGAGAAGCAACTTACAATGTTTCGCTAGGAAAAAGACTGTAAAGGAATACTAGTGCGTGTGACCTTGATCTTTCCAAATGACCTTGTGCTAAGCAATAACTAACTCTCGTTAGAGCTAAAATTGAGATAAATAGAGTTAGGTCAAGGTCAAAAGAAAGGCCAAGTTCAAAAATGGTGATGCCATTAAATAGCTCTCATCAGTATGCATCAACATGTAAAGTTTGATAACACCATTTTGAATGGTATGTTTAAAACTGAGCTAAACACTAATTTAAGAAAAGTGAGGCATATACATGTATATAAAGTCAAGTTTAAAAAAATGTTAATGCAATTGCATAACTCTAATTAGTTACTATTAGTATATAAAGATTGATAAAATATCTTGGATAGTTTGTTTGAAAACTGAGCTTTGAACTGAGCTAAAGGCAAAGTGTGACAGAAGGAGAGAAGGAAGGACAGAAAGTAGGAAGGATGGAAGACGTCCGACAAACACCAGATGCCTTGGCCATATTCATGGCAGGGCATTACATGTCATGTATGATTGTTGGTTTACATAAAAATAGGTCGTAACTTTCAGTCTCCGAATTCAACCCCTAAACTACATGTATATATGCATGTACAAAAACGAATCAACCGACTGACATTCTCTGCTTAGAAGGAAGACATTCAATCTGATTAAAATCAGATCTTTGTTACGCTCCGAAATTCTGATAGTCGCTGTACAAAGATCTGAAGACATCCCATCAAGGGTCATGTCAGAATGAACTTTGGTGACGTAGGGTCGACCAATCAAATGCGTTCATAACAACCAATCGTGGCTATTCTTACATAAAGTATTCGATATCAGTTGAAAAATGGCGGACGTTCAAGCCTTGTACAAAATTTTACATCATTTCGGTGTCTGTACTTTAAAAGAACAACAAAGCATATTAAATGCTATGATTGAAGGAAAAGACTGTATGGCGATTCTGCCAACGGGTTTTGGTAAATCGCTACCTTTCCAAATATTTATACCTCTTATGCGTGAGACGAACCCTGGATTCAGCGGTGTGATAATAGTTTGTTGTCCTTTGGTTGCTCTTATGCAAGACCAAGTAAAAAAAGTATCAGCTGTGCCCGATATAAATCTTTCAGTAGCGTATAAAGGTAAGGGGCTTCTGTTATGATTTGACGAATGTAACGTTTTGAGAGCGATTATTGGTGTAATGATAAAATGATCAAAGTATGTCTCGACTTGAAAATACACATGATTTGGAGACATACGATGAAAAATAATCATTTAAAATGATATGTTGTAAAGTTCTTTTAACATCGGTCATTTTACTGGATACTCTACAGATTTATCTTCTTTTTTCTCTCAGGTTCAAGTGAAGAAAGTGACAGGCAGATATTAAACGGTGAAATAGACCTCATTTATGCATCTCCAGAATCTCTGATAAGTAATGCAGCCTGGAGGGAAGATATGAAGAAATTAAATGTACACACCTTAGTAATCGACGAATTTCATACAATTGCAACATGGTAATTTTTGTATACCCATTGAACATGTTGAACAGCAGTAATGTGCCACATAGGCGTTGGAACCGGGGGCTAGGGGGAGGGGCCAGCCCCCCCCCCCCACTTTTTTTCCAAATATATACTTAGTATAGACTTAGCCCCACCACTTTTTTTCCAAACATATACTTAGTATAGATATTGAACATTGCTTCGTGGGTTTAGCCCCCCCCCCCCCCACTTTCCACATACACATGGTAGTAGGTAAAAATGGGAAAAAGGAGGTTTATAGAAAATAAATTTGGTACTGAAGTTCGTATCCCCCCCCCCCCCCCCCCAAAAAAAAAAAATAGGATTTTCGTGTTTGTGAAATTGACATTTTCATTTTCGGTTCTTTTTTTTGTTTTGTTTTTGCTTGTCAGGTTTTTGAAAGGTATATAAAAAAAAATTTTTACACCTAGCCCCCCTCGCTTTGAATTTGCTTCCAACGCCAATGTGCCACAATACTTATATTATCCCAAAAGTAAAAAAATATATATACTAAACTTCATGTACCAGTTAGATAACATAAGTATTTTATTTGTAGGGGTGAAGACCAAACTGGTTTGAAGAAACAAGCATTTAGGAAGTGGTTTTCCCACATTGGAGAATTAAGATCATTGTTTCCTAAAGCAAGTGTTGTTGCACTGAGTGCTACTTCCACAGTTAAAATTCAGAAAAGAGTTGCAAAAGAGTTGTCTTTAGGTCCAAACACAGTGCAAATAGTTATGTCTCCAAATAAAAGCAACATCAAATATTCTGCATTTAAAATACCCAGTGACATTGAAATAGCCATGTCCTGGATGGTGGATGGAATCAAGCAATTGTTAATTGAATTCCCCAAGACTTTATTATACTGTACTAGTATTAATGATGTATCAAAACTTTACACTTATCTGATAAAAGAGTTGGACAGTTCAAGTCACTCCCATATTGAAATGTTTCACTCTGAAACACCTCTTACCAAAAAAACTGAAATTGTAAATTGTTTAAGTGATAGAAATGACACATCAAATACAAGAGTAATTATTTGTACTAGTGCTTTAGGGATGGGTATTGATGTGTCCAACTGCAGCAATGTAATTCTGTTTGGATTACCTGAAAACTTGGTAGATTTAGTGCAAGAAATAGGGCGCATTGGTAGAAGTGGAGATCCATCGAGTTGCCCTTATTTTATTTAATACTTATCATCTACGCAAGCTTAGCAAAACCATGAAAGATCTGTGTTCAGATACTTGTAGAAGAATGACCATTATGAAACACTTTTTGAGTGAAACCGATTTAAATGAACTTAAAAAGGAAACTGGTAAACATACATGCTGTGATGTGTGTGACAAAATTTGTAGTTGTGGCAATTGTGAATATCTCTCTTTGGAAAAACTATTTGATCAGAGTTTAATTTCCAATTCAGACAATAGTCAATCAGTGGATTCCTCTGAAAGTTTAGATGATTATTTTGATGACACACTAGACTTGAATTTGTGTTGAATTATGTTAACTGATGTATCGAATAAAAATATGTTTCCAGTGATCTAGAAATTTTGTTGTAGTACTTGCTTGTAAGAGAAAAGATTAGAAGATCAATGTCTGATAAATAAAAAGTACATTCAAATGGGGAGAAGAGGGCAGTATTGTTATCCAAAATATGTGAGAGTGATTAAATTCTACATCTACACTTTGTCAGTAGAATTATATTAAGTATGTATATTATTAATATACTTTAAGGGGTGTGGGGCCTTGATTAAAACTGTGACTTTTTTTGTCAGACATTGAACTTTTCATCTCGTGTCATCCTGAAAAAAGCATACCTGGTAATTGTTTTATTGACATTTACATCATTTTAATACATTAAAGTGACTATCCAGTACACACGATTTATTCAATATATTGAAGTTCAAATAAACATGTATAATTAAATATCTCAGTAGTAGTTGTGAACTTATAGAATTGGTCCAAATCAAGTCATTCAGAGGCTTAAGCATCAATTTCAAACACACAGTACACTGGAAGACCTAATAAACCAAGGACCTATTTGCTAAACATGTTCTGGTACAATCTTCTATGAAAAGTTCATTCACAAAATAAGACCTAACAAATCAAGATTATAGTTGCTGAAAAACTATGAGCGTGGTGCAATAACATCCTAACTTCCCAAAGACCACGGACCATATACAATGCACAATAGCAATAGCACAATAGGCAAAATAGACATACACTTGCTTGAATTTCTTGAAAATTTTATACAACTTTCCCATGCAAATGTTTATTATGTGCATTAATTTACAATATGAATGCTTACTTATTCCTGAGTCGACAAAATGGTGAAGTTGGTCTATGCCGATAAATCATTAACGGAGTTTCTTAAATGAGTTCACAAATGGATTTCTGTCAATGACAAATTTTTGACAGTGAAGTTTCCTGTTTGGGTCATAGGCAAGAATATCATTTTGCATTAAATCTTGCAAGACTTTTTTGACATCACTCTGGTAGGAAGGTAGATGATGGAAACCCTTCTTCTCACGAACATTTGCAATTTCATCAAAATGTTTCACAAATTCTACTAAATGTGGATATTCCTGGAATGAAGAATGATGCTGTCCTTTGTCTGATTTCCTGTGCAAATTACTTTACTATCACGATTCAACATTTCAAGGTACTCATCAAGGGCAATGTTGTTATTTTTTCCACCTTGAACATTAACAAATCTGTTGGTAACTAGTCTTTGTTTTTGTTCTTCTGAGAGAATTCCATTATTTGATGTTAAAGCCGTAAGATGAACAGAACCTATCAGGTATTTTACTTTGTTTGTCTTGTTGTAAAGAGGCAATTCATATTTGGCTGACCTGACGGAACGCTCGCCATCTCCCATGTCTACAGCCGTGTCCAAGTTCTTGTGAAGAATGACAAGTTTGAATAACATGACAATGTAATCCTGGAGCTGATCACTGTTCTTCACTTTAGATCTTGGCATTTTTGTAGGGATTTGAACATTGTGCTTCTTCTGTTCATGGCATTGGAGAGAACCCACACATGCATATGTTGCTTCACAAAAGTGACATTTCAAGCGTTCATTTTGAGCATTTCAGACAACCAATAGTTTTCCGAGTGTTGTGGATCATCCAAGACTTCCCTCAACTCCTTACAAATGTCATCCTGATTTTCAAAGAACCATGTCTGTAAAATTTCACATGACACCTGGTTCAACCATTCCACTTTCTCTTTGTCTGAAAACTCCAGGAATTCCGCAGGAAATGGGATGTTAGAATCAACATCAGTCAGGTCAAAATGATGAAGCAAAAGCAGCTGACAAATGGCATCAAATACAGTGTAGAAAAGGATCTTATAAGGGCGATACGAGTTCTTAACTTCACCTTTCACATCTCTACGGTTCAGCAGATTTCTGTAGTAATAGATGGTTCCAGCATCTTTTCCACTGTTTGTGTTAAAAGTCAGCTTAGCTATGGCCTATAACATATATGTTGCATTGAGTATTTGATATTAGTCAAGTTAATAAAGTATCTGATAGCAGCATGTTATAATGAAAATACATAGTGAATTTGTTCAGTGTTTCAGAAAATGTTGTGCTTGTAGTGTTGACTGAGAGCTGTACATAGAGATGTTGAAAGAGTTTTTATTATCATAAAACTGACCTTTTTCTAATCTGTAGTTTACTTACTTAACTTATCCAAAGTCACTGACATGAAAAATAATGAGACTAAGTTGTAATGAAAATCAATTTAAACAATTACCTCCAGGAAATTCATCAATCTATGGAAGTCTTCTATCTTGGAAATAAATCCTTCTAACTTTTCTTTTGTTGTACCACCATTTTTCATGGCATTTTGGGCTGATTGGGCTGTTAGTCTGTCTCCTAAAAGATTTATTTCCATACAATCAATGTTCACTGCATGTTATATAAGTTTAAACTTTTGTCATGAAATCATTTTTATAACTTGTGAAAATACATGTAGGTCTTCATTCATCATAATAAATATTGTTCATTAATTATGTTTTTTATATTGATTTTTTTTTAAATTACAGTAAATGATTAAAAAAAAGAAATACCCCAAAAAACACTGGCTCAACAATGTTTCCATCCTTGTATGGTATGTAGTCATTAGAAAGTTTCTTAAGAAGAGCAATGAGTTCTTGGGTCTTGTTTTCATTACAATCAAATAATCCAAGTGGGTACTGAAACAAAGAGTCAATGAGTGAAAAAAAAACCCAAACCTATGGCTATTCATACATTAACAAAGTCATTTAATGTGATTATTACTCATTTTCTTTAATGATATGCTAAGAACTGAATAAAAGTTATATAAGGAATGTATAGTTACTAAAATATTTACTTGGAATGTCTTAATTCCAGAAAAATGACTGTATTGATGATCCAAATGCGTTGGATAAATAGAGTTAAATAATCTTTGAAGCTGAGGATTATGCTCAATGATGGACGTTGAAAATAAGAATGTCAATTCTTTCATCAATTGTTTTTGGTCATCAACCGAGGGCAGAAATTCACCAGCTTGTGTCAAGACTCTTTCCTCTGTTTTCTGAAGTTCTGGTAAAGATGGGACTCTATTTGTACCACAATGATATTGAAGAGATGGTAGGACAGAGTTCCTCTGTCTGAGGTCCTGTACGATGGTAATACATTCTTATCCCAGTTGTCCCCCACTAATTGGTATTTCACATTCCCGCTATCCACCCAAGAGTCTCGCAATTCTTTCACTTTTAAATCTACTAAGTCCTTCCAAGTTTTTAACTTCCTATGGATGGACTTGGGATGAACACATAATCCAATATTTGACAATCGTTCAATATCCTACAAAAACAATACATACATGTAATCAAGTATCATGCCTTTAACCCTGGTGAATTACACTACATGTACACTGGAATGTGACACATTGTACAATTATTATTCTTGTAAATATTATCAAAAATATATAGCAACATAAAAAGTAAAACCTTTAACTCTTATAATAGCCCCACTGGGACTCCACGAGATAAACTGAATAACTTAAATCTATTATTTAAAAAGAACTGATATTAAGTTGATAAACTATACAATTAATGTTCCTGAGATAAAGTTTTTTGAAAACCTAATTTTAAATCAGAAAGGTTTACTTTTGCTTCATTTCTTTTTTTCTTTTTTTTTGTAAGTGAATCTAGATTGTATATATACATGGTATATGCAATGTGTAACATGTAATCAAAAGTAAGCATACCCTCTGGATGCATCCACCATGAGTTAACACAAGTGCTATCATATACTGGAAAAGAGACATTTCCTGATTTCTTCCATGCAGTGCAATGGCAACAGATACCATGATGTGGATGAATCCTTTGCTGTCACTGGAGAGCTCCTTATCACTAACCACAGCAGATAGTAATGCAAGAATTGTAGGACACCTTATTTTAAGTTCTTCTTTCAATCTCTCCCACTTAAACTGAAAGATATCTTGAAAGTCTTTACTTTGAAGAATAGACCCTGAACCCCTCTTACAAAGAGCATGTGCCTCTTTCGTAACTATTTTTGCGACTTCATCTGTAACCACTTCCGGAGGAGATGAGCAGAGGTTATTTACAATGGTCCTTTCAGCATTATTCCCTCTCACTATTACTTTGCAAATAGTTTTTTGAACTTCTGATGTAATAAGGGCTGTCTTTGTTCCACTCGGGTAATGCACATATACCTTTAGAAAAAAATAAATGAAAGAAATTAAAAATAATTTTACAAATTTTGCTTATTCTTTAGCTATTAATTGTATCTTACATCAATTATAGACTATACTAGTAATCCTTTTCTTAATAAATATTTAAGCAGAATTCCTTCAATTTTAGATAAATATACATACTGAGGCTCATTCTACAGTGTTGATATCTGTCAACAAAACAAAAAAAAGATAAAGAACAGAACTAAAATTTCATGCCAAAACAAACAAACAAACAAATAATAATAAATCAGGTGTTCAATTATCTTTGAAAAAATAAATGTAAATGTATGGGTTTGCTTTAGTGCTTGAAATATAAATTTTTATAATATCCTGATTCAATAGATGAACTATCTTTTAGATCTTTTTTAAAATGCTCATATTTAATTTTTTTGCTGCAAACATTATTTTTATGAATTATGATTTAATTTTCACATTTTGATTTAAATTTGAAGACAACAATAAAGCAATATATACTAGAGACCAATTCAATTATCATCCTGTGCCAATGAAACATGCATATGTGACAAATTCATAAATTTATTGGAATGTGTTAGAAATATCAATCAACAGTTAAGGGGTATTATAATCAAATCACTATAACTTTTCCCCCAAAATATTTTTATGTGATGTGAAAATTTGACCAACTATTTGTGAACTTTGTAAAAGGTTAACCTTAATTAATTAACTTAACTAATTTTCTTATAAAAAACACTTTATACCTCAACCTCTCCATTTTTATAATCATTTTCAGCTTTGTCAGTTATTCTCTCCTAAAATGTACATAGTAATATTCATTCATTTAATGGTGATATCTACTCGGAAAAATGTGGTCTTCCACTAAAGATGTTATTTAAAACTTTTTAGATAAATTGTGTTCAAAAAAGAATTTGTCTTATTTTTACACTTCCCATTAAATACTGGTACATTAAAGTTTATCCTGCAACTACCCCTTGCATTGACCTAATAAAGGTAACCTTAATAAACCAAAGCTTTATCCGGTCACTGCCCTAATAAAGCCTCGTGCATGTATTCTGACGTTCTAAAAGCGTGAACGTCACGTGCTCTGCAATGTTTACGCCATGGTTCCAACTCCAGAGATGTGCCTAAATCTGTCGGAAATAGCTTGTTTTGGATGTTCAAATTTAAAATTTTGTTGCAGGATAAACAAAATACATGATAACTGTCTTGAAATATAAGCGATATTTGGGCTCGGGTCGAAAACATAAGAGGGCTCGGCAAGCCTCGCCCTCTATCACGTTTTCTTACCCTCGCCCAAATATCGCTTATATTTGCGACAGTAACCATGTATTTTATATATATTAGAAATTAATACGTGATGTATTGGTACAAAGATCACATGTTTTTATACAATGCTATGTTTGGGGGTTTTTATAAACATTAGGAATTAAGGCAGGTTGTTTTGGAAAATCCAATATAGTTTTACTGTACACTGCTCTGCCATTGGAAATTCTGTTACAATTTCAGCTGTTACCTGTTTGAAGTGTTTGAACGGTGATTAATAATGTTGTTACTTACCTCTACTATTCTATATATTTCGGTTGAATCAATTTGTGCCGAGACGTTTAAGTCCTTGGATAAACTTCTTCTTACTGGTTTAGCAAGATTTGGTTGTTGCTCCGTTTCTTGTCTTTGTGAACTTCGTGTTGTAAATGTTGAAGTTATATCCCTGAAAGGCCTGATTTCAACGGGAACAACAACTTGAACACTTGGAAACTTAGTCATTTTCTTCGGCTGGACTAACGCTGGACTACTTGCCAAACGTTTCGTAATTATACCCTGTGATCGTAACGCCACTGTAAGTCTTTCCTGGGTTCTGCTAAAGTGGTTTTGTATCTGTTCTGTTAATTCTCGAACTTCCGCTCCAAGTCGTAAAGTCCTTTCTACAGATCTGTTACACTTAATACATATACCTTTTTGTCCAACGTCGAAGTTCTCCAGAGACCCTAAGACTTTTTGCAATGTTTTGCAGTCGATCGTCTGTTAATTTCAATTTTAGATTAAAACGCGTTTTAATCTCGACATTTGCCTAACGAGTCTGTCTCTCTCGTTTCAAAGCAAAAAAACAAATAACGCAAATATTCCTTGCAAGTACACCCTCCGGGGTGTCATGGGCGCGCCATTTTTTGTTAAACATTTGATACCTCTCGGGCATTTTCAATGCCACATCTGTTCCGGTAACATTACATCATCGGTTACAGATCCGCGTAAGTCGCAATTTGATTGGTTTATGCAAAGGTCGCTCTGACGCGACCCTTTATGGAATGTCGTTAGATCTTCCTTGCGACATATAAAAAAATCGGGGAGCGGATGGAAGATCTAATTTTAATTAGATTGGAAGACATTGTATTCATTTTAAGGGATGGGGTACGATAGTGACTCAAAGGAATTTAACAACCTGTCGGTCCATGAAACATTATTTTGGAATGTCTGTATACAGCTGCGTGGCTTTCTTAGAATGAAATTAGTATTTTTTGAAATATCTAAATAATTCTTTTATTGACGCCGTGATATATTTGATAGGGTGTATAATAGCTGTTCGGATATAGTGTCGTTTGAAGGTCCAACACCTTTCTTTTTAATATAACCAAAGGTTCTAGTGATCGTTTTTCCGTATAGTCGAAATGCATGGGAGAAAGAAAAAAACGTATGGGGTCGTTCAAAAACAAATTAATGAGTTGTGTTTTTCACCTACACAGACACTTTTTTCTTCTGGTTTTCCTTTTTTGTGTATTGCCGTTTATTTTGTTTACAAGTTCTTGGTTTGGACCGCTGTTCATACGCGCTACCAATGTGAGAGGAGAAAACAAGATGTTGTCAAGAACAATGACTGACCAGATAGACGTTTATATACATTGTAATCATTATACAACCAAATATCAGAGCGAATCGATAATTTAAGTACCTAGTTAAATACATAGGAATTCAATAATTAAGGGAAGAATTTAATTTATGTTTTATGATAAATAGGCAATAACGAATTTTCTAATTTTGTAAAATCGAATTCTGAAAGCTCTGAATGTATATGTTTGGTCGCTCTTCTATGTAAAAGTTCTAACATATAAAACATGTAATTATTATCGGCTGCGGTAGCGGCCAATCTTTATGTGATTGTGTTAGAGAGTGCACATGGGGAAATGAGACGTTTTTTTTTATTACTTCAATAAAATAAGTAAAAATCATGCGTAAAATATTTTAAAAACTTGCTTAAACTTAATATTAAATGTTGAAATATATTTCAATTTCATTGTCATTAATATCTCATGATCATCGATAATTTATGGTCATATAAAAAGAGTTTACATCAGATACTCCCCAGCCTGAGAGTGTGTAAGATTTGAAAAGAAATCTCTTGATTTTCCGGATAATGATGATGTGGTTAAAGTGCATGGTGAATAAAAAAATGAGGAGTTTTTCAACTTCTAGTAAAAAATGTTTTGAATTTGCTCTACATCTACAAATGACACAAAGATCATGAAGATACTTTTTTTTTTTCAATTTTGCACTGCGGTTTGCAGCATAGCCTACTCTGCAGAAACCATTAGCATTATCACGTAATCAAGATCCAGGGTATCGAGGCTCGGTCAGGCCTACACCTTCATTTTGATGACAATAAATTCTTCTTATACATCAATGAACATGATTTTTTTTAACATCGATAAATCTATTTAAGAGCAAATGCGGTAAAATTATTTTTTATTTTCCTTTGAAAACAGCCTGAAATAGAATTGAAAAACTATTTCAGCTTTGAATATCTTGACGTGCTTTCCTGCATGTGAAAGAATTTTTTTTGCTTTGCAGCAATTTGATGCTTTGCATCATTCGTACTGACACTGTACATGTACAGGCATATAAAATATTCTGTTTATTGGACCAAAATTCATTCTGTACAAACATTTTAAGTTTAGTAGCAAATAACTGCAAACTCAAAAGTGCTTAATTTCATGTTGGATTTCCCCCTGTGAATTAGAAACGTTAAATCCACTTACAATTATCATGCATACAGGAAAAAATGGTGTAAACCTAGCTTGTGTTTTTTTTTTCCGGCTATCAAAATGGCATTAAACTTGAAATGAATAAATGCACAAGCAATTACGATTGATTAAAACAAGCTTAAATAGAGTGAAATTGAATGATATGAAAGAAGTCGACATGATCATGATGATTTCAAACCCAATTTTCCATTTGTAACTATCGGAGTACACAACTGATATTCAAATCGACATACCCGCTGCTATCTGCGGACATGTGCTTGTAAATGAGGACTGGGCTACAAAATTTTAGACACAAAGCGACAAAGCTGGATGTAAACTGTTTATTACAAATACGTGAATAATAGTATATTTTAATTTATATTTTTAACGTTCAATGTTTATTAATACGAGAATGGAGAAACAAAAAGAGTGATGGAAAAAATAAAAGGTACATAATAGTACATTACATATCACAAGACTTCCATCACTAATTATAATTATTTGCCGAAGCCCCTTTTCAATTACAATTTAAATAAAATACATTAACATGGAATAGAGAAATAATTTTTGCGTGAACAGGCCAAAGAAAGCGATCACAATTCAAAATGATTTATGCACCAGTGTTTCGAATTACGATTAAATGAAAGATCGGTGAAGTATTTTTATTGATTCGATCAATTAAAAACATGACTTTCTATAAATTGATAGGTCTTTGTACACAATGGATTTTAAACACGATCACAGACACTTGCATTGTTTACGACAGGTGGCTGGTACACTAGTGACCTCGATCGACAGCGTGGGATTCGGGTGTTGGATTACATAACTGTTACAAACATCTAGGCGATCTTAGAGATCGCCAAATGTATACAACTAATGATCGTGAATTATTCGATGCATAGAGTTAAAATAACTTATAATTGTTATAATAATCAATGTAGAAAGATAGATTTAATATATTCCGTTTATGAAGACGTGTTCACTATAAAACTAATTAATAATAAATAAAAAGGAAAGACTAATCGTTATAAATAATTTAATAGTTAACCGTAAAGCACGTATAAAGCCCTATTTAGAAGAAAATTAAAATTAAATACCATAGGGTTTATTACTGATAGGAAGTTTATGTAAATTATACACATGAAGAGATCTGATATCCTTTCCGAATGAAAAACGCTACCTGTTTACCGGCCTGCTTTCAACTACATATTATGCAATACCCCCGGTATAATCGAACACAAAACATTTCATCAGATTAAAAAAGGTGTCAAAGAACAATTTTGTTCGTATAATCCAGATCGAAATATTACCGTTTTTGGTTGATAAAGCAAAAGCTTTCAAGCTCCCTAAATCCCTAATCATAGGGGCCAGCCCCTTTTGAATAGTATGATATGAAAGTCCTTGCATTTATTCACAACTTTTGTTCAACATGTCTTAACAAAATATTTTTAGTTTTCAAGATAAAAAGGAAAACATGTGTAAATTTTCGCTCTTTTAGGCGTTCTATTTTTTGACCCCTGTATAACGCCATTTTGAATGGAGAAATCGAAAAACAAAAACCGATATGCACAACTTCAATCCTTCTGTTATCTAAAACCAGTAAAATTTCTGCTCCAGCTCTAGTGGTCTCTGAGCCTTTGTCTGGAAATGAAAGCCTATAATTTTTCGTTTAAAGGGAAATAACTCAAAACCGGAAGTGACTTTTTGAAATTATCTACAGCATTCTGATAGAGTTTATTACCGTCTATAATGTCTTAAAATTTGAGCAAAATCCATTGAGAATTGAGTGAGATATGAGGCCTCAAAGTTGGCGTCTAGGAAGAAAACAAAAAAAAGAATAATAAGAACTAGATACGATCTCGTTGCCCCTATTGGCCCCTAATTTGAGTGTCCAGCCTTTTTTTCAGGATTTCATCTTAAAGCTCTTAGGATTTTGAGCACTTTTTGTTCAACAACTATTCAGATATTCTGTCTCGTTTTCGAGTTATTCGCAAAAGAAATATTTAGGGGCCAACCCTTCAACTCCCTAATGGGGACGTTTAGCGAAAAATGAAAGGTTGCATATTCTTCAGAACATGATTTTGAACATCTTTTGTTCAATATTACTTATCAAAATTCTTCTCACTTTCGAGATACATAGCGTCAAAGATTTAGCCTGCTGGCCCCTTGTAGCCCCTAATTATGTAATGTACGACTTTAAAATCATAATATACAGTTGTAGATTGTTGAAATAAACATTTTTGCTTCAGTAATGTATTACAAATTATTGACTGTTAAAGAGTTATCGAAAAAAGACTTTTAGCCCCTCTTGGCCCCTAATTTGTGTGTCCAGCCCCTTTTTCTGGATTTCATCTTAAAGCTCTTAGGATTTTGAGCACTTTTTGTTCAACAGCTATTCAGAGTTTCTTTTTCGTTTTCGAGTTATTCGCAAAAGAAATATTTAGGGGCCAACCCTTCAACTCCTTAATGGGGACGTTTAGCGAAAAATGAAAGGTTGCATATTGTTCAGAACATCATTTTGAACATCTTTTGTTCAACATTAATGTATAATAAAATATTGACTGTACAAGGGTTATCGTAAAAAGTCTTTTAGCCCCTTTTGGCCCCTAATGTGATGAGTCAGCACTTTTTTCTTGATATCAGATTCAAGATCTTGTCATTCTGCACAAATGTTGTTCAGTATGTTTTAACAAAATAGTTATATTTTAAAAGATATCATTAAAAATGTCTCAAAAAATCACTCTTAATTTGTGTCCTAAATTTTGACCCCTACCGAGCTTCCATACTAGGTACTTCCGGAAACTATCCAAACTCCCAGTAACATGGGGACATGTCCTCTATCATCACTGAAAATTTCAGCGCTCTAGCTCAAGTCGTTTGTGAGATCAATGACGGACAAGAAGGTCCGCTAAATTTTAATAAAAGGGCGATAACTCTAG